TCGCCAGGTCGGCCCTCCACAGTTGCACTCCGCTGGCTGCAGCACCATTAAGGGCAAGCAACACAGCTGCTTTGGACAAGTTCCGACCTTCCAAACGGTCCTCCACCAGACGCTCCCCAAAGTCAATACAATCAATGACATGCACAGCTGACGAGATTCAGCCGCTGTGGGTGCAGGAATCAAACTTGCGACCCCAAAAATGGGGCCGTCTCGCGGCCCCAGAAAAGGAGCCGCGAAATGCAGCCAACCTCCTTTAACATATTTTGACTGGCAACTAGAGGACCCCAAAATCGGGGCCGCTTGGCGGCCCCTGTTTTGGGGTCGCGAATTTCGCATGTTGGGGCCCAAGCCAAGCCCGTGCATTCCACACACACTGCTACATCAAGGCGACCCGCCCACAGGCAGGCATCCAGTGTGGAAAAATCATTCTCCAAGAACAAGAATTTCCAACAGACAGCTTGCCTGTGGAAGTGAAAGACATGAGAGAACAGTTGCACTCCGCTGGCTGCAGCACCATTAAGGGCAAGCAACACAGCTGCTTTGGACAAGTTCCGACCTTCCAAACGGTCCTCCACCAGACGCTCCCCAAAGTCAATACAATCAATGACATGCACAGCTGACGAGATTCAGCCGCTGTGGGTGCAGGAATCAAACTTGCGACCCCAAAAATGGGGCCGTCTCGCGGCCCCAGAAAAGGAGCCGCGAAATGCAGCCAACCTCCTTTAACATATTTTGACTGGCAACTAGAGGACCCCAAAATCGGGGCCGCTTGGCGGCCCCTGTTTTGGGGTCGCGAATTTCGCATGTTGGGGCCCAAGCCAAGCCCGTGCATTCCACACACACTGCTACATCAAGGCGACCCGCCCACAGGCAGGCATCCAGTGTGGAAAAATCATTCTCCAAGAACAAGAATTTCCAACAGACAGCTTGCCTGTGGAAGTGAAAGACATGAGAGAACAGAGGGGGGCCACTCAAGCGAAGCCAAATTGCTTAGCTTGTTCGACCCCACAATTGGAGCCGCGTGTGCTGCAGTTGGTCCGCACCCAAAGTGGACATCGGCGGCACTGGTGGCCGAACAGGTGTTCCAGACACAGCAGCTAGAACACTTCCACCTTTGAGCTGCAGGCGGACTTTTCGGACAAATAGGATCTGGTCCAAACAGGTAACTTTGATGCTTTCTTGGCACAGGTGCCTTCCAGAAGAACTCTTAACTTCTACCTTGCACAGGCGAGGCCGAAGTCCGCTTCCAAGAAAAACAGAGTGTGCATCTTTCACTTGAGCTGAAAACATTCGAAGCAAAACGAAACGAGACAAAACGAGTGCGGTCACTAACCTGATTCAAAAGCACTTCTAACATTTGAGGCAGACCGAAAAACACCAAAGATCAAATGACACTTTTTCCAAACAGGCGCAGAATCCTGTCCGAAATCAGAAAATACACGGACCTGTGTTGCGGGGGGGTGGCACGGGTCTGTGTTGCGCGGAGATGTGGTGGAATTTGCTGAGCAACAAAGTCCCTTGAAGCGCCTGTTGCGATGTTGTCCGTCCGTGCTGAGGCGCAAGACCTCCGAAGGCCGAGGTTTGTGACAGCGGATGCAACCTGCGCAAAGAGACACGCAACCAAAAAAGCAATTCATTGGTCTTGATACCTTTTATTAAGATGTAGCCACAATCATCTTCTAATCCAAGCATTGGAAAGAATGGTGTTTGCTTGCAAAAGTTTTTAAAAAAAAAACCCGATTTGACGCTCGCACAGACTCAGAGAGCAAAAAGAAATTGAAGTAGAGGCGCAACTTCCGGCAGCGAAAAGTGCAGTTCGGACTGTTTGAGGGGACGCAACAGCCGTTCCAGCAACAGCAAATGCAACCAGAAGCAAGGCAGAGGCAAGGAATGTTACAAATGGGTCTCTGCTAAAAGAGCAAAAAAAATCTGGCAAGAGCCAGGTGAGCCCATGTCGTGCATGAGGGGTTTTGGAGTTAAGCACCGTGCACAAATTCCGAACCGTCAGCCGCACCTCTCGATACCATAACTCTACACAGCTCAAGAAGTCCTGTTCAGATCTGGTGGAGATGCCTTCCAGAAAATTCCGCCGCTCTTGTATGATCTGTTCCGGCCGACCTTCTCGATACCATAACTCTGCATGGCATGGCTTGATCTGCTCTGTTCAGAGATGCTAGAGTCACCTCTGGAAAAATTCCCTGTCTTTGTACGATCTCAAAGCTGCACAGTTATGGGGCTGTCGGGCGACCCCATTTTAAGGCCCGCAAAACACAAGCAATTCTGGCTTCGCCAGGTCGGCCCTCCACAGTTGCACTCCGCTGGCTGCAGCACCATTAAGGGCAAGCAACACAGCTGCTTTGGACAAGTTCCGACCTTCCAAACGGTCCTCCACCAGACGCTCCCCAAAGTCAATACAATCAATGACATGCACAGCTGACGAGATTCAGCCGCTGTGGGTGCAGGAATCAAACTTGCGACCCCAAAAATGGGGCCGTCTCGCGGCCCCAGAAAAGGAGCCGCGAAATGCAGCCAACCTCCTTTAACATATTTTGACTGGCAACTAGAGGACCCCAAAATCGGGGCCGCTTGGCGGCCCCTGTTTTGGGGTCGCGAATTTCGCATGTTGGGGCCCAAGCCAAGCCCGTGCATTCCACACACACTGCTACATCAAGGCGACCCGCCCACAGGCAGGCATCCAGTGTGGAAAAATCATTCTCCAAGAACAAGAATTTCCAACAGACAGCTTGCCTGTGGAAGTGAAAGACATGAGAGAACAGAGGGGGGCCACTCAAGCGAAGCCAAATTGCTTAGCTTGTTCGACCCCACAATTGGAGCCGCGTGTGCTGCAGTTGGTCCGCACCCAAAGTGGACATCGGCGGCACTGGTGGCCGAACAGGTGTTCCAGACACAGCAGCTAGAACACTTCCACCTTTGAGCTGCAGGCGGACTTTTCGGACAAATAGGATCTGGTCCAAACAGGTAACTTTGATGCTTTCTTGGCACAGGTGCCTTCCAGAAGAACTCTTAACTTCTACCTTGCACAGGCGAGGCCGAAGTCCGCTTCCAAGAAAAACAGAGTGTGCATCTTTCACTTGAGCTGAAAACATTCGAAGCAAAACGAAACGAGACAAAACGAGTGCGGTCACCAACCTGATTCAAAAGCACTTCTAACATTTGAGGCAGACCGAAAAACACCAAAGATCAAATGACACTTTTTCCAAACAGGCGCAGAATCCTGTCCGAAATCAGAAAATACACGGACCTGTGTTGCGGGGGGGTGGCACGGGTCTGTGTTGCGCGGAGATGTGGTGGAATTTGCTGAGCAACAAAGTCCCTTGAAGCGCCTGTTGCGATGTTGTCCGTCCGTGCTGAGGCGCAAGACCTCCGAAGGCCGAGGTTTGTGACAGCGGATGCAACCTGCGCAAAGAGACACGCAACCAAAAAAGCAATTCATTGGTCTTGATACCTTTTATTAAGATGTAGCCACAATCATCTTCTAATCCAAGCATTGGAAAGAATGGTGTTTGCTTGCAAAAGTTTTTTAAAAAAAAAACCCGATTTAACGCTCGCACAGACTCAGAGAGCAAAAAGAAATTGAAGTAGAGGCGCAACTTCCGGCAGCGAAAAGTGCAGTTCGGACTGTTTGAGGGGACGCAACAGCCGTTCCAGCAACAGCAAATGCAACCAGAAGCAAGGCAGAGGCAAGGAATGTTACAAATGGGTCTCTGCTAAAAGAGCAAAAAAAATCTGGCAAGAGCCAGGTGAGCCCATGTCGTGCATGAGGGGTTTTGGAGTTAAGCACCGTGCACAAATTCCGAACCGTCAGCCGCACCTCTCGATACCATAACTCTACACAGCTCAAGAAGTCCTGTTCAGATCTGGTGGAGATGCCTTCCAGAAAATTCCGCCGCTCTTGTATGATCTGTTCCGGCCGACCTTCTCGATACCATAACTCTGCATGGCATGGCTTGATCTGCTCTGTTCAGAGATGCTAGAGTCACCTCTGGAAAAACCTAGAGCATCCTTCGGCATGGAAATATCCATACCCTTCAAAATCCCTGCGTGCCTACATCTGTTTATAATTTCTACTCGGATTATAAATTTCTGTGCGTGCCAAGATACACACCCACGATTTGCGGGAAATGACACCACCCGCCATGTTCCAGCACCCGCACAACTAAATGTTTCTAAGGAATGTGCTGTCGGGATGTTGGGCAGGCTTATGTACCTACTGGTTAAGTTTCAGGGCAAGGTCATATGGTTTAACACGTCAGGGCAGGGAACTCACATCGATACTCAGTTGCAGGGTCTTAAACATGTGCATTGAAGTTCTCCGGCACAGGTATACAGGGGTAACTGCTTCTTATAAGCCAGGCCACTCTCTCAGAAAACTAGAATAATAAATGACAAGTCCAAGCATATGGGAAGCGCCCGATTGGCTAACTTGGGGGTTCACGGTAAACCTGTCAAAGTCAGTGGGCTAGCTGTTCGGCCTATATAGTCAGAAACTTCTACGGCTATGATATCATATATAGGTTCCTTGCCCAAACCCCGAACCTCTCTGGACTGGCTACATCGACCTGTACATCCTGTGGCCACTGCCACACCCTCAGCTTTTTTTCCACCAGGGCGGCACTGCTTCAGTACGGAACTTCTCGGTCCCAGAGCTTCTTATACAAAATAAGACACACCCTTGTGGTTCTGATTGCCACTTTCGCTGTCGATTGGCGCCTCGAGATCCGCGATACACGTCCTATGAAATCCTCGTCTGACCAACAGGCCATGCCTTAGCTAGGTCGTTGAAACGGAATGGGATTCACTCTGTGTTTACCAGCAAGAATTAATGTGACATTCTAAGTACGCCAGGGAGCACAAAATGTTCATGATGTGGCCTTTAGGCAGCTGTAACTCGAGTTCACGCCTTATAATTTGGTATGAAATTTCGAGCATTCCGAGCATCGTCGATCTTTCCAAACTAGTAGAAACATATATGCTACGTTTCAGATGCCGAGAGTCATAAGGTGAGCCTGCATGTGAATCTTCGGCTTCAGCTTAAAAAGCGCCCAGCGTCGCTGCACGCAAAGCGCCGCCAAGTAACCATAGCCCTCCTAGCATTTCTAACGGGGAGTGTGCTTTACAGATCTATCGAAAACTATATAGTTTCTGCCTGACTACACTTATCAAACTCAATCACCTGCAGCCCCCCTCTTAGAAGTTTCGAATTGTGACGATTCGGCCGAGTTACGAGCATGTTATAGCCATGAGACACCAGATCGGAGGCAACGGTGCTGGGGATCCAAATCCCCCTTCCATAGAAAGGCTTGAAGAAGCTGTTAGTGCTCTCGATCGTCCAAACCAGCACATCGAACAAATTGCGATGCCCTTGATCCTGGCTGCTCTGAAGTGCAGACTTCGACTACTTGTAGATTCAACTTGCAAAACCCAGGCATGCCATTAATTAGACTGCATATTTACATACGCACACAGAAGCCAAGAGTCCAAGCTTTCAGCATCTGCTGTCCGCAGAAAGTCCTGAAGCCATTCCAGCAGCAGGATTGTGTCGAAGCCCTTCCCGATCCCCATGGGGAAGTAGTTCAGCCTCGACAGCATCAACAATATTGTGATCGACGGAGGGATGGATGGATCAGTAGGTGCATAGGTAGGATAGATGTAAGGAGAGAGCTATGTAGATGTGTAGAATAGATAATTAGACAGATTGAAGGCAGAACTTCATAACCAAAAACACAGCTTCTCTGACTCCGACTCATGGAAGCACCCGGATCGCATACAATATCTCACAAAACTCAGGGTTGGGAAATGTGAAATTGAGGCACTAGAACAATTAAAACATCGGGAATTAATTAAGCTTCTACCTGACACACCCTCGATGCCTTACCGAGTCGTTTACAAGCCCCTATGTAGATTTAGAATATGTATCCCAGACAAACTGTAATCAGGTCTGGCATCGACTTCATCTTTAACTTCTCCAGCGTGATGCAGTTCAGGCTGGTGGTTTTGCCGTTGTTGCTGCACCAGTGCTTGAAAGACCTAAGCAAGTAGTCGAGGCGGCGGTTGATAGATCTTCCTTCTGCCATTCCTAGATGACAAACCAGTATCAAGGATGAGGTTGCCAGGGTGGATCCCCACCCTTGAATTGCATAGGTATGTGCTGGATCGATCCGTATTCGGAGCCAGTTGTCCCCACCGGGTATGTTTCGAAGAGGGCTGTAAGCGTGAGGCATCCACGGGTGTGCTCCAGGATTTTCTGGTGTCCAGGTTGTTCGCAGAGCTGAAGCTGCAGTAAGATCATACCAAGCCTATAAGGGATCAACGAGGTCTATTAATTATATTATATATACATATTAATTACATAATATATAATATTATATATATACCTATTATAATAGGGTTAGATCGAGGACATACCTTAAAGCCCAGCCTCTTGCTCGCACAAAAAGCACAGACGCTTCGAGCTCCACCCAGGCTCTAGAGCACAGGCTTTCCGCAACCAAGGCCAATCACCTTTGCACCCCAGATAAGCAAAATGGATCTTGTAGGTCTTGTCCAGAAATTCAACCTAGGGGCCACTATCAATTCAGTAACATCATCAGAAACCCGATGCGGAGGCACCTTTAGCAGCTAGTAGGATTTCAGGGTTCAGAGTTTCGGGCGCCATCAACATATACTTCTACGTATAGCACCATATCACCTGAGTATGTTATTCAGGCACGGTTGGGGGTTTGGGCCACAGGTCAATGATAGCCCTTCAATGCGGAACTTATGTGAGTTTAGGGCTTAGGGTTATATATATATATATATATATGGGTTGGGGATTGTCCTATCATATAATGCCCAGGTTCTTCTAGCCCAGACTGGAACAGAGACAAGCAGTCCACCGACAAATCATCTAGTAGTGCGTAGACGCTCGCATCGTCCTCGGCATAGCACTGCGCTGGGAAGCAAGCATACAGCAGTCGGCTGCAGAATGAGTGCCTCAGATAGTACAGCTGGAAGCCAGGAATGTATCAGACTGTGTCATCGGCCAACTTGTGTAACAACCGTGCTATGTACTCGGAAGTGCAGCTGGGGAACCCTGACATGTTCACTCGATGGCTTCCGTAGTGGGACAGAACCCCTTGAAACGAAACCGATAACAGAGGTTGTTTGTTTCGTCCTCGCCCTTCATCACCATGCACCATAAAGGGTACTGTACAAGAAGGGTCTATTTCACTGGAGAAGAGTGGATGTCCACCATCTATGCAGGAATACTTGGCCCAAAATCCTCGCAGTTCTGCTCGCCAAGCATGCTCATCTTCTAAGCAGTGTCCAGCAAGTAACATTTCCCCACCGCGAGCCAGAGCACACCGGGCCCAACTCGACAACCGGAGCACCGGCCAGCCGACAACTCGTTCTCGTCTATGTTTCAATTCTTTAATCGGAACATCGATTATGGAGACAGACACAGGTAGTGACAGCTTGTCATCGGCCAGCATTCGGTGAAGATTGCGGCAAGCATTGCCTTTCCCACCCCGTGCACACCGGGCCAGTCGTTCCAACATCGGGTCCCGTCCACCTTCACAAGATAGCGATTGCAACACTCGGTTCAAGATTCTATAGACGGTACATGTGGTCCTATGTTAATTTGAAATGCACACCTGCTCGACGTAGCTTCTTTTCAGCTTTGCTGGCAAGACGAGTAACTCTTGCACAAGAGTCGACCTTGGCTAGTTCCAAAAGCTTACGAAACGAACATTGCAGTACTTGTCGAAACGTATTTCGACAAGGAGCACCACCACTGATCCCTTCAAGCAGCTCGTCGAACAGGTCATCCGATGATGACTCCGACTCTTCGGGCTTGCCTGTTGGAGCAGGCAAGTATGGGCTTCTTTACAAGATAGGGTTTAGGGGGTTTACGGGGTTTAGGGGCTAGGTAATATGATCATCGATATGTGCATGTCTTGCAGAATTCCTGTCTGGGATATATAGTCCACAACTCGGATCTAATTATGTAAGCCAGACGAGGTCTCCTGTCGTAGGGGTTTAGGGTTCAACTAGGGTTCATAAGGGGTGAAGGGTGGTACAGGATAGCAGCTAGAGTTGTCATTGGGTTTCGTTGCAATATTAATTAAGGCTTTGCCGGTATAGCGGATAGTACAGACTACATATAGTACACGTGTTTGATTTTAAGTGCCAGGTTTTGAGGAGCAGTGGGCCATATATAGACAAGGCACCATAAGCCCAATCCATGGTTCCAGTACCTGCGCATGGTGTACAAGTCAGCATCCCGGTACGACGTATAGCCGTATAGACCCTCGCACGAAGAAGGACCGCCTTTTTCGAGAGCCACTCTGCAGTCGGCTAGCCCCACATGACTAATTAACGCACAGTGGCACTACGCACCACATGTGGTCGCTGGAAGCAGTGAGCCTTGGCATGTGCTTGCATGATATGCACACTTGATGCACATACCCGTCTTTGTAACATGTGTACATGGCTAGGCAACACACACGGTAAGTAATTTGGCGCACACACTAGCAATAGCAGCTAAAGCATGCCTTGGCAACACACTATGATCCACATCTACCCAAAGCAGCATCAGCTGGCTCGGGGTTTCTTTCCACCCTTCTTGGGAGCAGCTTTGCTGGCCCCTCGTTTCGGGGTCGGCTTGGTTTTGCCCTCTTCAGCATCACCAGCCTTGTTTGCAGCTTTACCTTTAGCTTTCGGGCGGATCGCACCTTTGTGTTTGGAAGCTGGCGCGGGTGTCGCGGTACTCTTGCCCTTCAGGCTCCTGAGCAGGAAGCAGCATGGGGTAGGTTGGGAGTCTCCAGTAATTGAAGCCTGGTTGCTTAGATCGTTGGAGAAAATTGTTGAAGGCTAGGTCTTCCTTGGTCGCAGCCACATAATTGGAGACGATCTCGGCCTCGATCCTTAGAGGTTTCTGTTGCAGGGACTCCAGATCAACGTCTTCAAACATTCTAAACATCCTGTGGTACTTCAGCCAGTCATCTTGGTTAGCTCGTCTTCCGTCGTGGCAGTTGCTGCCAAAGCCTGCTTCTTCAGCAGTTCATCATAGATCTTTTGGAGGCTTTCCAGGGACTTCGTCATGTCGTTCGCAATCCTAGGTAGAACAGGCCAGAGGTCTTCTCCTACAATTGCGCGTCGTTCATTGTGTACATAACCTAGTTGCTTACAAGTGACGACTCCGACCTGGCCGTCTTCAGAGCAAGACACTTGTCCTGCGATGCAGTCCAAACCCTGCTGCTAAGGTACATGTATATGCATATAATATAAACAACATATATGTATACATAGATAGATGTCTATATGACATTAACTTATATAGCACAATAGTTATCAAGTACATACTGTTAGATATAAGTTGTGGTATGTATAGTGTATAAACGGTTCTCACATGGGTGGTTGTCAAAACATGGTCCCCTCTTCGTTCCTTGTTATAGTACAGTGCCTATAAATTTCGAGTACACAAAATATAGGTACCGGTACTAGAGTTTTGACAACTACCCATGTGTAGACCTAGCTGAAAGTAGAAATATGTATAGACTAAGGCCAGACTTCACCTATAGACCTTAGAAAACCCCAAAACCACAGCCCTGAATGATATCAAAGACCTATACACACGTGGAGTCCTTGGCCTCCTCACCATTGTCTAGCTTTCGTCCAAGCACAGTAAGAAAGCTGGGGAGTATGGAGGCCGGTGAGACATTCTGCTGCAGTGCCGGGAAGCACAACCTTAGACGAACTTTAGGGGGTTTTCAAGGGCAGCTTACACGAAGTGCTCCTGGGATTTCAGATTAGGGACTTGAAGGAAGCCCCGGCTTGTGCAGCCGCGACTGACACCGCAGGCAGAGCCTCAGAGCTGCCTGCGAAATCCTGGAGATGATCCTCACCAGAGAAGCCCGTCTCTTCAAGCAGGCTGCCATTCGGATCCTGGGTGAGCGAACGAGTGAGTGAATGTACATGAGCCATGCGTGTATTCTAGTGTGTGTTCTGTGTCGTTCACATCTCCCACTCTCTCTGCATCTCTTTGTCTCCCTCTCTCTCTTTCTCCTTTTCGTCTTTTGCACACATGGTAAAAGCTAGCTGGCTACATGCGTGATGATCAGTGAAAGCAAGACACATCCATTTCGCATCCGGTCTCGAACTCCAGACGCTGGCCTTGCTCCTTCTTGACCTGCCACTTCTCATCAAGGGGAATGTCCGCTTCCTCCTCTCCTGTGATGATATTCTTGCGGCATCTGCCGCGAGGGGCTGCCCACTTGAAGGCATTGTCAGCCATTGTCCTAACGTGACAACACATCTACAGGTGTTGAGATGATGCAGATAGAATATAGCTAGCTACACATGCTTGTGCATTCAAGATACTGTGTGTATGACTTGTTGTCCATCAACCACTTCTTGGTGACATAGCCTCCTGCGACCTCTTCCGTCTTCTTCCTCTCCTGCCACTGCTTGACAACAAGCTCCACCTTGTCAAAGCTTCCTTTCTCCACCAACAGCTGCCGAATCTTCTCACCTGAGGTATGAACAGTTCTCTCTATAATTATACGTGGTTTTCACCATTGCATGGTGATCTGATGGTGATGAATGATGATGATTCGAAGCACATCTGCGCTGCATATGTAGGACACATTGCAGCCTACCCACATAAAGAAGCGCGAGACTTAAAATTGCATGCAGTTCAGCAACGACCATCCGGAGTGTTCCCCAGCTCCAACATCTCCTTGGAACATTTGGCCTCGCCCTTCGAATCGTTCCGAAGATAGCGTCGCACCCTGCAAAGCAGGAACAGATTGACTTAAGGTTTGCGACGGCAAAGGGCAAACATCCCGATTTAGGCAGCATGACCTCCAGTAGCCCTCCAGCTTGGGTTCAGCACTTGCTTTCACTGCAGCAGTCTTTTGAACAATGGAGGAAGCCGGCACAAACCCCAGCTTCTTGGGGGATAGTCGTTTCAAAGGCATGCCGTGCCCCTTTCCTTTGGACTGCAGGGGCGGGCCGGTTGGCTTAGCTGGGGAAGGTGAGCCTGGTGGCTTAGCTGGCGAAGCTGTTGATACTGAGCCTGGTGGGCCGGAAGGGGATGGGCTGGCAGCTGGCTCGGGGGGCTGTGTATCCGGCCAGGTTTCGGTGAGGGCGCTTCCCAGACTCGCCTCTGCTAGAGAATCTTTGGAGGGGCATGCTTGCAGCGACTCCTTTGACGATTGGGCCAGCATCTTTTGTGTTTCCGGCCCAAGAGGAACAAAACCCTTGGAAGCAACAGGGTTTGGAGACGGCGTGGAAGGGGAGGGCCTCGAAATTGTGCTTGGGGGCGTGTTTGTCATCGCAGGGGGAGGAGGAGCACCCCCAACACTTCCAACAGCCAAGCCGGCCACGAACTGACCACTATTCGAAGCCATCGTTGGGACTCCTGAACACATGCATGAGCCACTCAGCCATACCATACACTACCTGTCCCAACAAGTCCTGCAATCATCGGCGGCACAGGCTCCGGTGCTCCACCGGCCATCATCCTCTGCAAGGACGCGAGCCTTGCATTGGCAGCCTTGGAACATAGATTTTGAAAAGATTGTTAAATCGCTAGCACTAGCATATTCGATAGCACCATTGATAACGGTTGTAGCAGCAGAAGCGAAGAGGCAGCTGCAGGAGCAGTTAACTATAGTTCAGTAGCAGTAGCAGTGGTACTACTAGTACGTATACGAATAGTACTAGTACTTTAAATATATTAATAGTAAGCAAAAAGGTCTAGGTGAGGGGACTTATGGTTTCTGGAACAAAAGATTCGGAGACCTCTGAGGGGTTTGCGCTTTAGAAGGTTGCAGGGCTTAGGGCTTCAGGATTAAGTGCTTCTAGCTGGGTAATTTGCTGTTCGGCAGGGATGGGACTTTTGGTTTGCAGAGGCTGAACTCTAGCTGTGCCCGAACTCGCATTGCCTCGCTCTAATCATATCTTCTAGATCGCGACCAAGAACCCTCTCACACCGATCCAATTCCCAACATCGATCGATGAACAAGAATCGGCAGCCCTAGCTCCGGGAAAAATTCATGCATGCAGGTGGTATCAAGTACTTAGATTTTCTTATAATATTTTAGTCAAGACTGCCTGCATAGGTCCTACAGCATGGCATTGAAGGGATACAGTATCATCCTAGTGACATTGAGTGTTGGGTTTGGGCACATGCCTAAAGGTCATTGGGCTAGAGCAAGAATTTGGTCATGACCCCACCCTAGGTCCTTGACCCTACTTTGGTACCCTAACATGCAGGACTCGACAGGCTGCTCGCCTGCACTCAGCACAACATCGGGGTTTACGGGGTGAGCAGGTTATGTAAGTTGTCATATACTATGTATAAATACAACTTGCAAGACAAAAGACAGCTTCGAAGTGATCACTACAAGATGTAAGCTAGTGTCTGTCTAGATGTTCTCTCTCTCGCTCTCCCCTCTCCTGTGTCCAATCTCCTGGCAAGTCCTGAAGAGGTGGAAACAGCACATCTCGTTAGCTGTTGGTCGTGTTGGATGCAAAAAAAGAGGCAACCCAACCCCCCCAAAATACGCCCAGGGAGGGGGGGTTGGGTGGCCTTGGGCCGGAACTCAGAAAGGGGGGGGGGCACGAGCACAACGCTCAAAAAAACACCCAAAACCCACGAAAACACACCCACCCTCTACCCCCCCCCCCCCCCCCCCCCCCCCCCCCCCCCCCCCCCCCCCCTACCCCCCCCCCCCCCCCCCCCCCCCCCCCCGCCCCCCCCCCCCCCCCCCCCCCTACCCCCCCTCTTGCTTGGTTGTTTGGGTTTGGCCCTCGATACTGAGTGGGTGCCCTCTCCCTCCCTCCAGCGGTAGTGTATTAACTATTACATTTATTGGCACTTCTCCGCTTTTGGTGGCATCAGCGTAACTAACCTGGGACCCTTTGGGGGCTCGCATGGCTTCCTTCTCGGCTCTACGTCCACAAATATTAGTGCTGGGTGCCCTACCTGTAGGATGGCAAGACCCATTTTTGGGATGCAGGGATACTCCTGAATAGTGCCTAGATCTCACACCCTGAAACCAACCGTGTGCGATGACTCCTCAAAGCCCCGAACCGCAACAAGAGACCTGCAACCACGCAGCACTAAGCCTTGCATCCAGCTCGGCTTCGTCCAAGTTCCCAAAGGACATGCTTGGGCTCCAGTTGCAAACAGTACCCACAGCTTGGTTCAAGCTTTCTAAGGACGTCATGCAAGCCTATTCGGCCCGACAAAACACAAAACTTGATCCTCATATGCACACAGATCGACATGGTCATACATGTTTCGCTCAGAAGCACACATCTCAGGCAGGGGTGCTGCTCCGGTGCTTTTGGAAGTACCGTGCCGCCGGGTGCTCGGATCCAAGCAATTTCCGGGACTGCTACCGAATTAGTAGCAGTGGCCAAAAGCCTAAAGTCATGGATTTCAATTTGCGCCAGAGTTGCGGGGATTTGCGCCAGAGTTGCGGCGATTTGCGCCAGAGTTGCGGCCAGTATTTTCCACTCGGTTTACATAAAACAAGATTTCCATGACTTTTACAAAAAAACATGAGTGATCCTGTACTGCATGAAGACTGCACCCTTAAGGATTGGGCCCGTATATTAGTATGTGTACACGATCTAACCCAGGACTGGCCCTGCACCTAATCGGCTGTGGTATGCTGCTGGCCTATTCCAAACCCAGTATGAAAGACTCTTGGGGCAACGGGGTTCTGGTCGACTGTCACTCTGCACATAAAGAACCTGATTTCGGTTAGGGTTGCCGAGGGCCACTGAATTGCAATCGAATTATACCCTAGAGTCAGCACCTTCCTGTGCCACTTGCACGGCATAAGGGCACCTGACTTCCCTTCGGCCTAGCTTTGGATTTATCGGGTGGGGTTTAGGGCTCAGGGCTTTTAGGGTCTAGGGTTCAGGGTGCCAGTAACTAACAGGCAGGGCTTTTCGGGCTTGGGGTTTGCTAGCTTAATCGGGAATAGCATAGGAAAGTTTTTCCAGGGTATATATAGCTAGGTTTTCATTGGTGGGTTTGCTTCGGAACATTGGGTGGCTGCTTCGAAGGAATCTACAAAGAGGGTTTGTAGGTGTACGGGATTTAGGGCCTAGCCTTGGGCGTATTGGGTGGCCTTGCAGGACACGATCAAGTCAGCAGTGCATTGTACTCCGCTCGCAAGTGCTTTGAATGGTTCACCTCGGCTGTGTTCTCACATCAAAGGCATCAGCTAGGATTTGTGATCTGCAAAGGGTTTCGGGCCCCTACCCTAGCTGCTATCGAGGCACTCTAGCATCCAACTCTTTGTCGAACTTCTCTATGGTTGCAAGCCACGAATCCGGTATGACCAACCATTTGTTTTGGCGAGCATAAAAGTATACTGCGACAAGATTAGCATCGCTCCAAACATCGCCCAAACCCATATCTTCGAAAATCTCACGATCTGTTCTCCCAGGGTCGACAAAGTTCTTGTGCCGAAGATGCTTGCGATCATGGACAATCTCCGTCTCGAAGAAGGCACGGTAAAGCTTCTGGCAGAAGCGCACGGGGTAGACCCTGCATGGTACGTCAAGAAGGTTGGAGGCCAAAAGCCCTGAACCCACAATCCTGATTGTGCACTAATAATATAAAGCCCGAAAGATATAACACTAATCATCGCTTTCAACACCAAGCAACCCAATCCCTATAAACCTGATCGCACATGTACCATATGCCCTCACTCAGCCTTAAAGATCGGAATCCCGCAAAACCCCAGCCCTATAAATCCCGGCCCACTACCACTACCACTACTTCTACTACTACTTCTACTACTACTACTACTACTACTACTACTACTACCACTACCACTATGTGTACTTTCTTTTCATCTGCCGCCGGGTTGTCTCACCATCAACCCTCCCTGTAGGCGGCAGATGAAAAGAAAGTACAACATCCCCTAAAGTTCCTAAAACATCATCATCATCATCTTCTTCTTCTTCATCATCATCTTCATCTACTACGACTACTACTGCTACTACTACTACTACTACCACTATGTGTACTTTCTTTTCATCTGCCGCCGGGTTGTCTCACCATCAACCCTCCCTGTAGGCGGCAGATGCAAAGAAAGTACAACATCCCCTAGAGGTCCTAAAGCATCATCATCATCATCTTCTTCTTCATCATCATCTTCATCTACTACGACTACTACTGCTACTACTACTACTACCACTATGTGTACTTTCTTTTCATCTGCCGCCGGGTTGTCTCACCATCAACCCTCCCTGTAGGCGGCAGATGAAAAGAAAGTACAACATCCCCTGAAAGCATCATCATCATCATCTTCATCTACTACGACTACTACTACTACTACTACTACTACTACTACTACTACTACTACTACTACTACTACTACTACTCTATATACTAACTAGTGGAAGTAGTACTGCTAGAATATGCACCAACTAACAACCATTGCTACTACCAAAACTACAACTGGAACTATTACTACTACGACTACTACTGCTACTACTACTAATAGACTACTGTCACTACTTACTATACTACTAGTGCTGCTCGTACTAGTACTAGTACTACTCCTACTACTACTACTACGACTACTACTACTACTACTACTACTACTACTGCTACAAAACCCTTGACGGGGGTTCCTCATCATTCTTTCAGTCAGAACTTGCAGAGCAGAAGGAGTAGCGAGTAGCAGTCATGGTGGTCGGTAG